ACTGAGCGAGTGGAGGGCGTCTCGCCCTACAGACCTGCCTGGTATGCATTCTCAGCCTTCACGTATGCAGCGATCGTGGCCATGGTCATATTGGCTTGTATCACCACGCCCTTGTATCAACGCGATTACTATTTAAACAACACACTGAGCATCACTAACTGGTTCGTATGGACCGACTTGGGTTTCGCAATCCTCTTCACGGTTGAAGCCATCATCAAAGTAATTGCGGACGGTCTCTTCTTCACGCCACATGCATACTTTCGAAGTGTCTGGGGGTTTATTGACGGTGTGGTCCTCATCACGCTATGGATCAATGTGGTCACTGCTATGTTCCGCGACGACGGCGTCTCTCGAGCCGTTGGTGCCTTTAAAGCGCTGAGAGCATTGCGCTTGCTCAACATTAGTGACACTGCGCGAGACACCTTTTATTCGGTTATCATTGTTGGTGGCTACAAAGTCCTTGCGGCCGCCTTCGTTTCCATGAGCTTGCTGATTCCCTTCGCCATCCTTGGAGTCAATTTGTTTAGTGGCAAAATGCAAGCTTGTAACGATGGAGATTTTGGCTACAGTGCCTTGAGTAATTGTGTTGGAGAATTCAACTCTACTCCCTTCAACTGGCCTGTACTGGCGCCCAGGCAGGTTGCAAACCCCTGGTTCGACTTCGACGACTTCGGCAGCGCCCTGTTCATTCTGTTCCAGATCGTCTCCCAAGAAGGATGGGTGAACGTGATGTGGTCGGGCACGAGTGTCACTGGCACTGGATTACAACCACAGCCATTTGCGGCACAGGGAAACGCAGTCTATTTCATCATCTTCAACTTGTTGGGTGCTGTCTTTGTCCTTACACTGTTCATCTCGGTGTTCATGCGAAATTACACGGAGCAGACAGGTGTTGCCTTTTTGACAGCAGAACAACGCTCATGGCTGGAGCTGCGGAAGCTCTTGAAGCAGATCTCTCCTTCCAAGAGATCACTAGGTGAACAGTCTGCAAAGTGGAAGAAATGGTGCTATGACCTTTCGATACAGAAACGGGGCAAGTGGCAAAGGTTCATCACCACAATATTGGTCCTCCACCTGATTCTCCTCACGATTGACTTCTATCCCGAGCCAGAGTGGTGGGCAACTGTGCGGGAATACATTTTCCTTGCCTTTACGGTTGTACTAATCGCCAATGTCATTATCAGGATCATCGGCCTCTCGTGGAAACGTTTTCGACGGAGCTCATGGGACATCTACTCGGTTCTTGCGGTGTCAGGGATTTTCGTCACGTCTCTGATCTCGTTGTCCAAGGTCAACAGTGGAGGTTTCCAACAGCTCCATAAGCTTTTCCTGGTTTCCGTCACCTTTCTCCTGATTCCGCGGAACAATCAGCTCGATCAATTGTTCAAGACTGCTGCCGCCTCGCTGCCATTGATCGCCAATTTGCTGGCAACATGGTTTGTTCTGTTCCTGGTGTTCGCAATTGCCCTGACGCAGGCTTTTGGCCTCACGCGCTTTGGAGAAAACGAGAGCAACAATGTCAACTTCCGCACCGTTCCAAAGGCTCTCATCCTTTTGTTTCGGACCAGTATTGGAGAAGGTTGGAATCAAATCATGGAAGATTTTGCCGGACTTGAACCGCCCCTGTGCGTGAAAGAAGATAGTTTCTTCGCGAGCGACTGTGGCAGCTCCGGCTGGGCAAGGGCATTGTTCATCTCCTGGAACATTATCAGCATGTACATCTTCGTGTCTCTGTTTGTCTCGATGATCTTTGAGAGCTTTTCGTATGTATATCAGCAGAGCAGCGGCATGTCCATTGTTAGTCGGGACGAGATTCGACGCTTCAAACAAGCCTGGGCAGAGTTCGATCCAAACGGTACCGGTTTCATTTCAAAGGAACAGTTCCCTCGCCTTCTAGGGGTAGGTCTGAGTCGATAGGGCTCTTTATTCGGTGTCACTGACAATGAGCAGGAACTTTCCGGTATATGGCAGATGCGGATTTACGACGGTGATTTCACCGTCAGAGCCATCCGAGAGGACTGCTCAGTGCAGCCGGGTGATCCAGTCAAACCAGCAGCAAGAAGAGTGGATGGCATCGATCTCGACAAGTTGGCAGAACGTGTTAGCCAGATTCCTGTGGCCGAAATCCGGCAGCGCCGTGCACGGATCAACATCTTTTACCAGGAAGTCATGTCGACGGCTGATCCAGACCGTGGCATTCCCTTCACCGCGGTTCTGTTCCTTTTGACGCACTACAACGTGATTACGGACTCTCGAAGTCTCCGCTTGGAAGAGTTCCTTCGGCGACGAGCGCGACTACAAAGAGTCCAAGAAAGCATCCGCAGAAATACAGTGGTCGGCTTCTTTGATACGTTGCACTGGTCTCGTAAGTTTCGAAAAGCGGTCGAACGACGGAGGAACTCACGCTTGGGTGCACCACCTTCTATTCCTGTCCCTGAAATCTTTATTGAGGATCCCGACGACAATATGGAAGGCAGTAGCGGCACCGAGCCACGCGATTTCACCTCATCTACACCATCATATACGCCAAAGAAACAATCAATCAACCTCCCACCCATCGACACGACCATGCCTCCCCCTTCAGGTGCTTTGCGAAGCACGTCACCGGTGGACTTGGAGAGCTCGCCGCGAAGTAGCCCAGTGCGGGCGAGACTGGGATCAGTGGATACTGCCTACCACGGAGCAACAGGAGCAACGAGATCGTCTCCAACAACGCCGACACTAGCCCATAGTCGGCACGGCAGCAGCGCCAGCGGGCTAGATGGGCAGGGTATGATGGAGAGCTTTGACAATTCAGCATGGGGTGAGAGTATCCGCAGGAGCTTTACGACGAGGAGAACACGAAGCGATAGCACGCGAGGGTGAGTGAGTTTTGAGTCTGAGAGGGTGAAAGAAAAAGAGATGGTAATATGCTTGGCACGATGTTTCATGACGATTCATGACCCAAGTCTTTTGGTTTCATTTCTTGATTTGTGCATATTAAGATGGGAACGAGGTGGATAATGATACCAGGATCCGAGATGAAAATAGATGAGCATAGCGAGGGCGTTTTCACCTTTGATGTGAGGGAATGAGATTGGGTGGATGACTGAAAAGAAGACGGCGAATATGCACTGGCACCCAGTCATCATGTACATCATGCACACTATATTGATTATGGAACTCGAGCGATATGAGGTTGAAGAGGGTAAGAGAGCAAGAGAGCTGCAATGTCTGTCCAGCGACGAAACGGAAATCCCATCCATGCATGTTTGTGGAATCATGGCTTCCGTCCGCAATCCGGCTGTCCCGATGCATTCTGCTCCGTACTTGTACATATTATCATGTACAAGGATTTTTGACAGGAAATCCAGAAGAAGCTTGTGGCTGTGTCGATCTTCCAGGATGTGTAAATGACCACCCTTGTCTATGCCTGGAATTGTGGTCGATTTCATATCCCTGTCAACCAATGTATCACTTCATGGGGGAGACTCTTGATGGAAGATCATGTGAAGGGGAGCAAATGTTGCACTTTCTCTTCCCGCAGCCGGTTTCGTGCTGCGCAGGTTCAACTGACAAGATTTCGTCCAACAAATTATGTATCAGAAAATGCCATCAGACGCGATACTCACGAGACAAGAGAGTTACGAGTACAACATTCCACGATGATACACCAATAAACAGTGCCTGTTCTTCCGCCCCCATCGCCCCTCCCCCTCTGTCGCTTGTATTAATCTGCCAGTACCGAGTACGAGAGCTCCCTACCTACGACGACGAAACAAAAGACCCCTCTCTCACCTGAGTGACCTGACACCGATAATCCTACAGATCAAGGTTTGGGCTCGCTTGTCGGGCCCCCTGAAACGCCTGCACGACGCTCATCGCGTCTTTGGAAATGAGATGAGCCAAGCGGATCAAACCTTGGCTTGGTCTCGCAATCCTCTTGTACGTGTTTGGCCACAGTCTCAGCCGCGTCAAGCTACGCCAAAACACGCCCCAGTCGTGCTAGTGGCTTCTCGACCCTAGCTCAGGGTCCATCGTTGCCCTGGTCAGTGGAGAAGTGCATCAACTTCGGGAACAGACTGTGGATCAGTACAAAAGTTAGGGAGATCGGGAAAGTCATATTGGGGCATATTCACTCTCCGAGGCTTCCTCAGCAACGGTGCAACCAAGCTGGGATCTCTGCCGCAACAGTGGCTCCAGTAGTCCCTGTTCCGTGTCAAGGACCAGTCGCATATCAAAGGGGGAGAAGGATCATCAGACGAGACTAGGGGGTGTTCTCTTGATCGCTTCAGACACTCGGGTACCAGATTCCAAAGCTCCAAGAACACTGATGTTTGACATTAGGTACCACCAAGTCCTGAGCTTGTTTCCCTCCGCATCCTTGATGGCTTCCAATACACTCCTCCACCTTTCCCTTCGCAGGAAAGTTATGCAGGAGCCATTACGACGAGGCCCATTATTTTCAAGCCCCAGGGCAGGGAGGGGCGTGACATTTTCGCTCCCTGGATTGCTTGCCCTTGTTCCCGCAAATGTTTCTGGGCGAAACTATTGCCTGCATGTCTACGAGGTATTAGTTCGCATACGGGGCCGTCATTACAGGGAAGCAGTAGGCCCATGCGCAGGGTGGCTTGTTACCTACTTTACTGCGTTGATCCGGACGGCTTGTCACATAACTTTGGATCTCAACAATCCTCCTCCAGGAATTAATATTGTGCTGACCTTCTCCAGCTTTTGTCTCCTTTTCTCAGCTCTTCTTGTATATCACTTCTGTTCTCAGCGTCTGCTTGTGCTTTCGATACTTTTGGATTGATATTACGGCAGTTCCCCTGGGACCACTTGGGCAGACCTTGATACACCTGGGCCGCTCTACCCCGTTGACCACATTGCTTAGCTCAAAAAGAGTTCGACCTGCTGGCCAAGGTCGCTCAACTGCTCAAAAAGGAGCTTCTCAGACATTGAGACGTGGGAAGGAATTCCAGAAACTCGACGTCTACATAATTCCATTACCATCCAGAAAGATGGCAGTTGCACAGTTAGTCTCTCTCTTTGAGGCTCTACACGAAGACACATCCATTAAACCCATGCCCAGGACCTTTCGCAGTCACACCTCGTCCTCGAAAGTCCGTCTCCATCTCCAAACCATCTTTAGTCACAATCCTCGACGCCGAACGTCAGCAAAGAGTCCATCGGGCAACATGTCTTCGTCGTCCTCACCGGCGCCCTCGTCCATCCGATCCTCACCGAGTTCCTCCTTCAGCAGCTTCGGAGGTCGACGACACCTACCTACCAATGACCTTGATTCGGCTATTCTGTCCCCGATCTCCCCACTGTCAAGCCATCACATCCGTCGCCAACCCTCTGCCATCGACCTAGCCCTCGAGGCAGAACTGTACGCCGACGAAGTTGAGATCATTGGGCTGGGACTACTAGAACCCCGCCCTCGAGCGAACACAGCTACCTCGACAACATCTTCTTCCACACAATGCTCAATGATGGAATTCATGAATGAAACCATGCAAACACCGGTGGTGCTGGATGGTATCTTTGAGGTCATGGAACGTGCATGAGCCACACAGCTTCTGGAGGATTTGAGGAAGACAACGGAGGGTCGGACGACTCAGCTCAGCCAGACCTTTCAAACGGAATCAATGGATGTCCGTGGTCAACCCCATAACTCATCAACATTTGTTACAATTCTTGGGTGGGCCTTTTGATGTAAGACGAAAGTTATGATGTATGCAAATGAGCAGGGAACCTTTCCCTTTTCTATTTTCTGGTTGGGTTCTTCGGACTTGGGAATTTTGGGCAGCGAGGAACAGGAGGTCATGTATTTTACGATACCACTTTATAGCAAGCTAATACAGAGGCACAGAGAGCGATCTTGGACATGATGAAGAGGGTCTTTCTGTTTGTACATTACATTGAATTCAATGCGACATGGTTTCGACCGCACTCTTTGCAAGGGGACGCGAGGGTGGGTTTACGGCCACCCAGCAGGATTCCAGAAGATACAATACATGTCACTGTTTTCCAATAGTACTACAACTCCTTCCTAAACAGGGGGGTAAGTAGTCTCCATATCTGCAACTACCCCATATGTTTAGGGCAAGGAAGAAACAATAAATATCTCAGTTATTGATTCATCTCCTCGGTCCCTCTCTTGTACCTAAGCTAGCCTTGAGAACCCGAATACGTCAGTGCGGAGTCTCTGCAAAGGGCGCAGACTACTACCAAATCTGTTGCCACTGCAAGAAACAGGAAAGTAAGAACTACTCTATACGTTGGTGAAGAGGGGGAAGAAAGAACCTTTAGCAGGCGAGCAGCGGGTAAAATAATAAGTGACAGAGTTTCATGGCTGAGTCAACTCGTCTACCTAGGCATCCAAGCATCATCGGGAGGAGCACAACAAGTAGGGCTGAATCAACCTTACCACCCAGCCCACCTTACCTAAGAGCAGTAAAACCAGCAAGTTTTTTGGGGGCCCGTCTAGGCACTTGTAGGGAGGAATCTGACAAGGAGTGGGGGGCGCCCTTCCTCCTACAGGTCACAACCACTGCTGTTACGGACGTACCTGCTTCCAAGAGTCCCGCCATCAGCCAATGCGACTTACTTGTACGGTGAGAAACGCAGTCCTGGGAGTCTTGTCGTCCATCCACAACCTCGGCCGACAAAGATTGAAGAGGTGATTACTATTCATCACCGTCTGCTCACACCATTTCCAGCCTAGCATCAAATTCCACCCTGCTGCACATGGATGACACCAACTGCCCCATCAAGCAAGGATCGCGCACCTGAGGCATCTGGCCGCATCTCAGACCCTGCCGGCCATGTCTCGGGCTTCACGAACATGCCATCATCCAAGCCCGTTCAAGACCGCCCGCTTGGGTTCGACAAGCCAGGCTGCTCTCAGCTTTTTATAGGGGGAAACCTTCGTCTGGTCGATGGCCCCCCTCCCCAAGATCTTCCCGGTCGTATATGAGGCACATACCTCTGGCAAACCCCGAGGGATTCTGACTAATTTCGCGGGCCTTGCGGACAGGTGTGTTTAAAGCAGCCGTCCATCAGACTGGAAACTGGTATTACAAGTCGCTTCCCGCTGTTTGGCTCCTAGATACCTCTCGAGAGACTCCACGCCCTCGACTGTCGACCGATGCCCACTTGACGGTTCTATTGACAGGTGGGATTGCGCAGAACATTGACTTGTGGACAAAAGAGGGAGAGACGGTGTGTGTGTGTGTGTGTGTATTTGAAAAAGACACATCTGAGAAACCCATGGTGAAGCGCCATCGGGTGGCGGCATTCGACGTTTGATATCTGATCGGAGCAAAACGAAAAGATAGCCCAGCCCATAGGCACCATCTACTCCTTACCTCTATCGGGAAATTTCGACACGAGCTTGCTTGGGCCAGAGGGTGAATCCACAGAGATCAAACGCCGTGGTCGACCGTGTGACTTACCCCAGATTGTCTACTGGCACTACCTCTCTGCCTTTCCCAAGCACCCTCTTCAGTCAGGTTCAGTAATCAACCTGGTGCTGGTGCCCAGGCAATGTCCGTCACGATGCAAAAATTCGGAACAGCGCAGGTCAGCAGCCGAGCATATTCGTCCCTTCAATCAGTGCTAGAAGACCCCTTACAGCTCTTCATGACGCCCGATGCCGTCCAACGTCCCGTGCCTGGAGATCTGGACATCTTGTCGGCCTCTCGCTATCCTCAGGGACTCATGCAACCTTACGAGGACTTTGAACAGAACCCGCGTAAGCGAAAGGCAGCTGCTTCACCCAGCCAGCTATACGGGGGCATTGTGTTAGCTGCCACTCCGGGCGATGATAATTCATCGGGGGAACAGGACCAGCCTTCGACTCGAAAGAAATCAAGGTCAACCAAGCGTTCGTCCGCAAACGATGGTGAGGATGCAGCAACCGAGAAGAAGCAAAGGGGTCGACCTCGACTTGACACCCACGACGAAACGGCGGCTGACCGTCGACGGACGCAGATTCGGCTAGCCCAGAGAGCATACCGGCATCGAAAGGAAACCACCATCTCAGCGCTGAAGCAAAAGGTCTCCGACCTCCAAACCACCGTCGAGCAAATGAACCGGACCTTTTTGGCTTTACACGACAACATGGTCGAGGCCGGCATCCTGACCTCGCACTATTCACTGGGTCGTCAACTCCAGGCTGCCACGGAAGAGTTTGTCGCTCTGTCCAAGGTGGCATCACCTGAATCCGACGAGGAAGAGGAGGCCATTGCCAAATTTACCAAAGGTAGCGATGAGCCGCCCTTATCCGAACCAGGTGAGAGCAATAGAGGGTCTAATGTCAAACCAAGCGCAAAGCCCTCGTCGCGGCGACCAGCCCGTCTCGCCAATGCAGGCCGATCGGTCAGTTTGGACCAGGGCTCGACCGACGCCGAGGCAGACGTGGAGGAGTTGCCATTGATAACCAAAGACCACCATCCCTTGGTCGCCCTTACAGATACCGTGTGGCCAACGGACAATACCAGCCTCCAGGGCTTGGATGATCTGATGTCCTTCAGCGCCACCATTCCCGACGTCATGCTATTCGACGATCCCTATGAGAAACTGATTGTGGAACGGCCTCTCAAGCCCGCCCACCAACCCGAGGGCTCCTACACGTACAGCTTCCAGGAAACGACGTTTGCTCGTCGCCTCCACCGAATGTGCCTAGAACGGGCGTTTCGCAACCTGACGAACCCGAATGTCGACCCAGAGTACATCAAACGGGCTTTCCGCTTCACTTTCTGCTTCTCTAACCGCAAGCGGATGCTGCAGCGCTTCCAAGAAATGCTCAAGCGCAAGGCGGGCGAGTCGCTCGAAAACTGGAACGTGCCATTCTTCCACATTGGTGGGGCGGGAACGCATTTCCCTCGTCGCGACGACAAAGGAAACCCGGTGTATCCGCCGAACATGATCAGTCCCGCCAAGGCATTTGGACCTCAACCCTACGTCCAGGCCGAGACCCCGCGGATGGAGACGTCGGTGCAGGAAATGCTCGAGAATATCGGCTTCGGCGGGGTGTGGTTCGACAGCCACGACGTGGAAGAGTACCTCAAGACCAAAGGCATCTACCTGGACGGCCAGAGTAGCTTTATTGAGGTCGATCCAAGTGTCCTGCCACTTGTAAAGGCATCCCTTGCTTCGAGCGATGGGACGTCGAGCTCAGACCGCAGCCCGCTCGATGCAACCCTGCGCACGCCAAGTCCTATTATAGGTGCCGAAGGCCTGGCCGATCCGATCACTGACCCTTTTATCGCCCGCGAACTGGGTGAGATGTTTGCCCAACCAAGCACGTTGTTCCCTTCTACATCTACATCTTCATCTTCCTCTTCCTCTTCCTCCGTCCCCGTCAGCACTGTTTCTCGGAACAATGGAAAGCCGGTCGACGATCCTTGGGCCGACTTTGCGGCACTCAACCCTACATCCTCACCACTTACCTTTTCCGATCTCCTCAGCAAAAAGCCGAACCCCCTTATGTTCGATGTGGACATGTTCCTCGAGCGCATGATTCTCGGGAGTGCCTGTCTGGGCCGAGCTCCTGGATTTAGAAAGGAAACGATTGACGAGGCTCTGGTGATGAGTCTGCAAGAGGGCTTTTGAGAAGGTATTTATCTAGCTGGTGCGGTGCATGTGTGACAGAGAAAGAAACATACTCTGACGAGAGGTTCAGGCCCCTTTTGGGGTATGAAACTATTCTTTGAAATTCAATGGCGATTTATTTTGGTTCTTCATCATAACTCTTCTTCACTCAAATAATGTAAACATCTATGACACGACATGACATGGTATATATGGCTGCAGGATGTATGGTATAATATATACATAGCCAGTGATAAACATGGACTTGCTTTTCCCCTTCAGTCGTTCATGCCTTTGTCTACGGAGAAAAAAGGGAAAGCATAGCATACATATCATATCACGTTAGTATGCGTAACCCTATTAGGGCTCTTTGTGCGTCTGTGTATATGTTCTCTCTCTTTCTTTCTCTCTCGCATGTGTGCGCCTCACTATATAGAGGTAGGTAGGTCACATAAAACATCTACCTAGAGACATGTAGAAATGTTCAGCGAGATGTATGTACGTATGTATGTATGTGTACCGAGTACTTGGATCCTCATGCGGTACGAGGTCTACACGAGGTCTACACGAGGAAGAAGAAAACGGCCGAGGTTGACTTTGACAGTAGTAACTCGAGACCCGGGACACTGTATTTTACTGTCGTGCATCAGTGAAATGGTAATGGCGATGGCGTGTAATACTGCATGTGATTGTACTGCACCGACCACAACCACTACTGCTAGTACTGTATTTCTTTATTCGTTCAGGTCGTCTATTCATTCATGCATTCATTCATTCATTCGCTCAAACGCTCAAACGCTCAATCGATCGGATAAACCAACCAACCAACCAACCATGCACTTTTTTTTTTTAATCCCGAGCTTGCTCCAGGCCTACCCTAAGCCTGCCATGCTCGCTCGTCGTGCCGAGTATTCAAGGACATCCCAATAGACGTCCACGTGAAAAACGCCAGCCAGCCACCTTCGCTTGCTTGCTCCCTTCCTTCCTTCCCTCTTTTCTGTGGTTGGTAAAGGTCATCACTGTGAGTGAGTGGTAGTAGTACATTCCTCCCTGTTGAAACCGTGGGTATTCCGTGTACAAGGTAGACTCCGTCCGCCCTTCCCAAAACAGGCTCTGATCCTTTTTTTTTGGCAGACGCTCCAATCATATCCGGGGTATCATCGTCATTTCATGGCTGGCGAAAACAAGTCATGCGTGGCTCTTCAAACTCCCCTTGCCAACAGGAGTCCCAATCAAGAGCCCATCAATACATATGCCCAGCTCGGCCATCTCTCCTCAGTTTTGAATCTTAGACAGGTTGCGTTGCCGCGTTGCGCTGATGGATTTCTTGTTATTCCTGTCTCCTCCTCCTTCGTCTGGTCTTGACTCCCGGTCTCCACAGGATGCCTCGACAATTGTTCTCCCCACATTGACACTTGACCAGATCCTCCGAGATGGTATGCTCGTCGTCGTCGGGTTCGGCGTCGTTCAGGTACGAGATGCGTATCTCCTCGCCGGCCTTGATGTCCCTGATGGCGAAGAAGGCGAGGTCGTACACCCTCTTATCCTTTCTGTGGGTCTGCACAGGGAAAGACCTAGCATTGGGGTTGCAGCTGTGATTGACAAATCGCATGGCAGACCCAAAGTCCACGCCATCCACCTGATAAGGCTCCTTGTTGCCGGCATCGTTGAACCAGTCCAGCGAATAGGCATAGCTAGGTTGGTGCTCCTCCACCGCGTCTTCGCGGAGTTCCAGTTCGGCCGTGGTTATCACCTCGCCCAGGTATCGTTCGATGAATTGTCCTTTGACAATATCTTTCGACGAGCGGACGCCCCAGCCGCACTTTTCAGTCTGGAAGACTTCAAGAGGAACGGTGCGACCTTTGCACACGACCCGATTCCAGCAGTCGTCACCGCACCCACAATGTTCATTACATTCCGTTATTTCATGCCGGTCCGCGCCGTTGTTTCCAAGCACGCTAGCAATATGCTCATCCGAAAGCACAACGATCCCATCGGGTCGGCGGACGTAGATTTCCACCTGGGTTGCGCGTCCCTCGACTTCCTTGGTCATGCATGTACAGGTGGATAGTGCGCAATTCGTGCAATCACAGCCAGAGTTCGTCGAGGTCGGTGCCACCTTGACTTTCGAGCCGATGATATAGTGATCGATGAATTGGAATTTGCCAGCAAGTCGTTTGTCATTTATGTCGTTGGAGAAGGTCAAAGGTGGGCACAGGCTTTCGTCAAAGCGGCTGGTGAGGATATCACGCGCAGCTCGGGCGGGATGGATCAAGCTTTTGTTGAGAGACAACTGATCAAGTGACTTGGAAAGAGGTTCCATCTCCAAGCCGATATTGCTGCGCTTCACCTTTTTCTTCTTCTTCGATGCCGCGTCCCGCATAAACTTGACATCGTCATCAACGCTGAACACGGCCGAAAATCCCGTTGTTCCAAAAAGTTTCTCCACTAGTTCCGGGTTTTCACGAGCTAACTTTGTGGACTGCTGCAACTGTGCGAAGACCCTATTCTTCTCTGCTTGAATCTGAGCCTTAGACTTGGGTAAAGGGCCTTGGAATTCCCTGAGAAGGGTTTTGCGTTGATCTTCAATCACCACTTGAATCTTTGCGCCATTGTTGTGGCGTGGCTGCGAAGTGGCCATTCTAGACCCGGAAATTGGTCGCGGGATATCGATCCGGAACTTTTCCGAAGGAGAACTGTGGCTGGCTCGATCATGACCTGGGTTCATGACCTTTTTTGGGATAGTCGCCGCCATTCTCTCATGTTTTTCTGACATGACGAATTCCCCCGGACGGGAAGAAGAGGTGCGCTTTGACCGGTCGGTATCTTGTAGCCGTGGCTGCACGGAACTGAACCGCTGTTTTGAAGAGGAAGGCATGTTGTCCGCAGACGGTATGGCAGACTTCATCTGTCCAAAGGTGGAAGTGGCACGGCTTTCGGGCTGTACACCAGTCCGTGTCGGTAGGGACGTCGTTTGTGGGTCTCGTCCAGCGGTACTGTGGGTAATGGGTGAACCGTTTCCAAGATCTCTGACTTTCTCATTTGACAGTGAATATTTTGAACGGACCTTCCACGGCGAGCGTTTAGGTGTACTAGCCGTTGCTCCATTCGCGTGATCACGTGCCGACGAAGACGCTGGAGGAGTCGCGGGTCGGACAGGCTTGGCATTCTCAGAGGGCGGATGAGACCGCGAGAATCCAAGGCGACGCTCGGGACCATCCGCCGCCGCGGGCGTCTGCGATTTTCGCCGCTTTGCAAGAGGTAATACCGTAGGTGTCTGTAATAATCAGTCAGTGGCCATGTAGGCGGCGTAATTTCTAGGTTGGGCGGCGAGGAGGAAACACGTGTCTGCATCCACGGTTCGGGGCTGCGCGAGCGCGAGCCACACAACAAGCAAACTCACTTCATCGTCAGAGTCTGATAATTCAATTATGACCCTTCCTGTGTCTCTCTAGAGAGGGAAACAATACAGTTAGCATTTCTTTGTCATGCAACGTTACTCGCGATCCGCATATGGGGTGGCGGATGAGGTCAGTCCGCCACCCAACACGGTGGGCCATAACAACGACTTTCTGTGCTGCTTAAAAGAAGACAACAAGACTCGGCGCGGTTTTAAGATGTCGGTTTTTTTTTTTTTAAAAAAAAAAAAAAAAAAAAAAAAAGAGAAACAAAAAAAAACCTCCTCTAAGAACAAAGTAGGCATTCAAGAAAAATAAGCATGATCTTAGAACAGAAGCCTTACATACCGCGGTGTCTGTTGTCTGATCGAAACTGCGTTTATGAGCCGAACCAGCCCCATGCAGTGTAACCGCCATTACCCGCCCGTTCGGCCCCGCGCCGGCCTTGGAAGTCGTTAACGTCCGGATTTCGGCATTCATTCGTGAAATAGGTTTAATATCGAGCTTAGAAACGGTCGAATAGGGCTCTCCTCGGGTGGTGGAGGAGAGATAGTCGGGTTGTTAAGAGAGTAGGAAGGTGAGAATTAAGTCGTAAGGTTGGGAGGCAACGACAAACCGCCATGCCAAGAGGGCACCTGTTTAGGCACTATGCCTAACTAAGTGAATCTAATTGTCTTACGTAATACAATTTCATTATAATGTCATCACTTTTTGTTCGAGTCTTATTTAATCCTCTATAAACTCCTAGAAAACCAAATTCTGAGTTTCTCGAGTTCAAATAACTTATTATGATACGAGAAATATTGTAATTATAATGCTTGGAGCAACATGTCCCATATATCCATTCGCGGTTCATCAAGATAGGCCCAAAAGTCACCATTATCAGCGCATGCTAAGTCGAGGCTATGTCGCAGTCGATGCTAGGATTGCTCAGCTCTTCAAAGTAGTCAAAGCAGAGGCAGGTGTTGGATAGAAACTCTTGGTGGCGAGTATTATGTATCACATCGCGGAAGGTTTCCCCACAGCTTGAAGCTCTCTCGGTGGCGGGCGTGCGGGGTCCAATATACCTTCCGTCGCACAGGCTCTAAGTCTTCCTAATCCATACCTACATTCTAAGTATTAAAAAAGATACTTCAAGTAATGCAGATGTGAAGACACCTAGACTTGTTATGTAAAGCACGTGAAGGCGAGAAAGTCATGTTTACCTACATATGTAGATTATTGTTTCCTTACCATCAGGGAAACACTTCGCCAGACGCCTGAATTCTGGGGCAGTTGGCCTCTTCGGACTTTTGTAGGCCGTAAGATGATGCCATCAGTGGGCCACGCGCCCTACAAATTTGTTGATTCAGTTACAATACCGCAGCGTGCTCTCTTCTAACGCATCACAGTCATGGCTCTCCTAGGCTCAGGCCTTCTCCTTCATCCTCCGCGTCCTGTGTGTCATCGTCAAAACCCATCCCCTCGTCGCCCTCCATCTCATCTTCTAAGCCGCCGACTAGATATTTCTCGCCTTTACCTTCAGTAGCATCACCAACCATATTTCCATCCTGCACTTCGCAGTTCGTCAACGAGCACTTGTTGCCGATCTTGGCCTTCTTTCCTACAACTGTACCTGTCAAGACACTTTTATCTCCGATTGTTGCGCCATCCATAATCACACAGCCTGTGATCCGACTTCCTGTGCCGATTGCGACCGAGGCCCCGATGACGCTGTTCTTGATCACGCACTGCGTCGCGATTGTGCTATTACTGTCGATGAGCGTGTCGGAGCGAGATATCGTCACCCGCGGCGCGATGGTGGCGGTAGCATGGATTTTGGCTGGGTGGGAGAAGGGTGGCACTGCTGATTTGTTGCCCAGGCATTCTTCGATCGACGGTAGCTTGGCGAGGGAGAGTGAAACGGACAGTAAGAGGGGAGTGTTGTCCACCCGGCGCACCAAGGGCGCGTCCGAACTTGCTGGGAGTATGTATGAGAGGATGGGAGGAACGAGCGGCACATGTCCTGATTCTTCAGAAGCTTGCGATTCGCTATCTGCGGAGAGGATTCTGTCGTCTGAGTCCCTTCGCACTCTTGATGCGAGCCGGGCTGTGCGTGGCGCATCTGTAGACTGGGGCAGGGGATGATTTGTGACATGAGTACTGCTCAGTGATAACAAATCGATTTCCTCCTCAATTGGCCGTTCATGTGAGGGGACCTCGTTCTCTTTAGAGCTGAAACGGTGTGTGAATATCTTCCGCGCACCGAATCGTGCACGATAGCTCGGTTTGCGCCATTCAGCTTTTGCCCACGTCCCCACGAGGTCTTCGCTGACGGACTCAAAGTCTTCGTTGAACTTGGCAAATTCCTTCACCCAGTAGGGAAAGAAATAGATGTGTGAGTCGCGGTATCTGGTCATGCACTTGATTGCGCCATATTTGCGGAGGAGTGACTGTCGAATCTTCCAGGACTTGTCCTCCTCGCACTGGTCCCATAGCTCGGACATGGGCATCGTCCAGACCAGTTTGCGAAGTACTCCCTGGGTTTGCATAGTGGCAGTTTTGGAGAGAGGCAGGTCGTGCTCAGGGTCAAGCTTGGAGGTACACATAAAGTCGCATTCTTCGCCTTTGACGCTCTCCTCCCGATCGGCCGTGTTGTACCATATTGAAAGGCCACCCCGCCGGCCGCGTCGTTCACCTCCAAGTGATAGCAGCTCATTTCGTGACGTCTCAAAGTCTAGGCCTGAGGTAGCACCAATCCCACCAGGGCCGCCTAGCCTGGTAAAATACGTCTCCAAGAAATGGTCCCCTGGTATATCGCAGATCAGGTCGCAGGGAAGTACCAAGAAGTCTGATTTGATCACGTGCTGCACCTCTGGCAGCCTCAGCAGCTCTGCCGTTGGCGTTGTGTACTCTAGAGACTCTGGGGCCAGGAGATCGGCCGAAGGCGACGGAAGAGACGTGAGGTAAGGGTTTTGAGCCAGAGCAGCGGCAATCGTGTCCTTGGATGTTGGCGGGGTAATAAGGGTGATGTCTGTCACACCCATTCGATAGCACCAATCCAAAACATACCAGACCATGGGCCGGTTTGCGACTTCAACGAGGGCCTTGGGATACTCTGCAGGCACACTGGTGAAGGTGCTGAGCCCGATGCCCGGACCGCACAGTATCAGAGCTTGGAACCCCGTCTGAGGCATCTTGGTGGCTTTGTGGAAAAGCTTTCTTGAGAAACCTGCAATTGCCGGCTGCGTTTTTATATGCCCAGCTCGCCGTGACTCATACCGGACAGGGTAATTCGACAAAGCGAAATTGCGCAAGGGTGAGGGACTGCTCACTTCGCCTTGACCCACGCTCTCGTCCTGATCGAGACTCAGCGCACGGTACAGAGACGGCGGAACTGGCTGATACGGAGGGGTTGCTCCAGGCACACCCACCCGTCCTCGAACGATCGCTGAGAGGCGTAAAAATTGGACGCGCGGATTTAGTGACTGTCGAGTCGGGATCTGGGCAGCGCTATCGGTCTCCTGGGTCTGGCGAAGCTCGTTGGCGAGAGAATCGATGCCGTCAACGTCACGCAGAAGACTGATATGATCTACTGCTTCAGAGGTCAAGCGCGTCTGCATGTAGATGAGAGACTGTGACATTCTGGCTACAAAATTCCAGGTCTGACCAAAGTGTATTCAGGCTGGACTTGGCAAAGATCCACAGTTGTCGAGGCGGCGAAAAACAAAGTCAACGTCCGCGGGGTGTTTCTACAATACGGACCACGCGATTCACTTCATGGACGGATCGGCAACATTGGTAACACAGTTCAATAGCTCAGATTGTGCATGTGGAATGTCCCGTTCTGGTTCATCTTCTGTGGCATCTGGCACGAGCCAGCGCCTGTGCCCGTTTGGCTAATTCTCTGGCCCCTCTCATTGTCCGCTCACTCTGGCATGCTCGCTCCTTTCAATTTTCTTCTTGGGCGGCCTGCTGGGCAGTGCTCTCGCCCTCGTGCTCCGCACCCTCCCCGGTGCCCGCGGCCTTCTCTGCATTCCAAGCCTGTGCCAGGACTTGGTTCAGGGCCTCTTGGAAAATGTGACAGTTGTAATCGATCAAACCCTTCTTGTTCTTGGCGTCGTCGTTCTTGATGACGGTGACGAGGCAGAGATACCTGAATCGTATGTTAGAATGGAATGGGGTCTGCAGTAAGTTTATCTTACCTATTCATCTCCTTGAGATAGATCATGGTACCGTCATGGATAGTCATGGAAGACTCTGTTTCCTGCATCTGCTCTCCAAGAACCAAGCCGTGCTTGCGCTCATGCCCGTAAAGGTCGGTGATGTCGACAATGACGTCGATGTAGTCAGAACACATTTCGTACACCTCCATGTCAACTGGTCTGGTGTCACTGGCAACGTAGATCTTGCTGAGGATGTCGAAGAGGTAGGCTTTGGCCATACCACTGTTATTCACAAGTGTGTTCATGAGGTTCTCCAAAGTGTCGAGGTGAGGAATCAGCTTTTGAACGACCTTGCTGAAGGCCTCGAAGATAGAGTAGTCGTAGATGGAGGTCATGTGGTAGCTGACGTTGGGGTTGATGTAGCCCGCGTCATTCAAGTCATCACCAACGCGTTGAGCAATGTCTTGGTAGATTTCAGCTCGGAATTCATCATTCAAGCTGTCGATCTTGTGGATGAAGACCTCGACGTTGACATGAGGGAATGTGGTCTGGAGGTTGAGAATGGTGGTGGTCAACCGGTTCAACGACTCGCTGTAGTCGTCTTGCGCGTCGATGACCCAGACGAGCGCTCCAATCTCAGAAAAGATTTCATTGGTGTCAAACGTGGGATCGAAGTAGTCAATTTGTCCAGGGAAGTCCCAGACCTGAAAGTCCATGAAAGAGTGCATTGTATCTTTCTGGATACGAGTGGTGGATTCGAGGAAAAGGGTCTCTTGTGGAGGCATCTTGTGGAAGACAACGCTGGTGATGGACGACTTGCCGCTTCTGCGAGGTTGTCAGTGAATGGAGATCGAGGGAATTGAAGGAATTGAAGTCATCATACCTGCGCTGACCCATCAGCAACAAGCGTGGCTTGTTCTGGCGGAGTCGGCGATCCATGTCTTCTGATGTGATGGAAGAGTGAGTTCGAGATGTGGGAGAAGGCTGACGCTCTTGTGACGAGGAGGGAGACTCGGGTGGGCGAGAGAAAGGTGGCTTGTCAGTGTTATGCGCACTCAGAGCCTGCTCTTCATCGCTTGGAGTTTTGAGAAAGGGTCTGATGTCAGTTGCGTCAGTCTTGGGAGGCTCAACGTAAGTGTAAGCGGCAGGAAAGTCAGGAAAGCGGTTGCGCTCAGCGTTTATAGAGGCCATCCTCAGTTGCTCTTCAAGAGTCGCGCCACTAGTCGTGCTAGTCGCTTTGTCGTCGTCTCGGCGCTCCATCTTGGAAGAGTTCTTGTGGGACATGTGATGTAGGGGAAAGTGAGTCGCCGCGGCGATGGGAAGGAACGATAAAACAATAACCTCCATGTTTGTCTCCCAATTTTCGCGGGTCTGGTACAATGTTGCCACAAATTCACTGTGCTGGCCTCCTTTGCATCTAAACAAAGCAGCCAAAGAAGGACAGACTCACCACCTAGCACAGTCCCAGAGATCACGTTTTGTATACCCTGCTGCTTACTCTGACATCTCAACTCGACCTCATTTTGTCCGTGTATACAGCTTTCTCAATTCAAAAGTGCCCCTAGCCTGACGTCCTGAACAAGCCGCCTTGATTCTGCAATCCTAGGTGCGAGAGTCCCGGTCCAGTCACCAGGAGACAGGACTTCGGAACGGAAATAATGCGAGCGAGAAAAATTCAACAGTCTGAAGAGACCAGGAGGAACGTCCAAGAACGTCTGCGGAGACAACCAAGCCACTGCTCTACAGCTCCCTTCTCCTGTCTGGTGAACCAAAAGTCATGCCTTTGATCAACATTGTGTCTCCAAACCTTGCTGATGTTGAGCTGATAGTTCGGCCTGGAAGTATATTTCTCCGTAGAAGAGGAAATACGGGGGCGCACGAGACACCCATGACGAAGATGACGAGCAATACGGTCGAGAGTTTACCTTCCTATCCTCAAACCTTTCTTCAATACCACCACCACTAATACCACCCTAGTCCCCCTTAAGAAATCCCATCTCTGCTCGGGTTTTTGTCATCGACACCCTCATGACGTCAGTACGAGCTTACGAGCACAGTGTGTTGAATTCAGTTGGTGCTAACGCATGTCGACTGAAAGCGGTAACTGGGAATATCCATTTCAGGTTATATTCAGTGCGCTGATGGTTGAGGGAATAATGGGCCTACTTCATGTCGTTCAAAAATGAGCCAAGGCGTGTCCTGCCCCTTAATCGTCACGGAGGGCATGCAATATGACTATTTCGATGCCCGGATCGCCTATGAGAGTTTTTGTTATGTGCAACGTTGACCGCTTACACCCTTGCCTCCACCGTGCAAAGTCCCGCCAACGAGGTTCGGGAGGTATTACGGAGAGTACTACGTCCATTGGAAACCCTTCACGCGAGACCCGGAGCGTCAGCAGGACAAATTTAAGGACATTCTTCGGCCGTAGCGTCCTGGATGATGACAGGAAGTCAGGGAGGGCGGCAACTCTAGGAGAATATAACGCGACAAGTTTTGAGTACCTTAATAACAAGACTAGTAACAATGGGAATTCATTGGTTGAGATGCTTTGGTGTGGTGCCAAGGTCGTCTTCCCAAATATCCCTTTCTAATGTTTACAATCACGGGTATATCTTTTCCTGGATCGAGTAGTGCTCTGGTTTCCCAACACGAGGGAATCCAGGGAAGCAGGCAATAATTTCGACATAAACTAGGTACTTGTATGAGTAAGAGAAATGTGGCACCCTTGGGCGGCCCATCGTGCCCATGTGGACCACGGGCGGAACTTCCGTTGTAGCTTCGGTGGATTTCTTTGTCATGTGTCATTCTCAGAACTTGTACCGAGTTTACATGCGACTCCGTAGATATTTTCCGGCATGTTCCTGCATCAGGGATTCCTCTTTCGTTCTCCATCGGTAAATAGTTGCTGTTTTCAGATACTCTTGTTGAGAACTGACCAACAACAACATTCACATGTCAAACACTTGCTGGATCAAACGGAAACATGAGGAGGCATGGAGAGAGCGCAACCAGCTGTCCTCTTATCATACTTCTCACCTCTTCCCACTCCCTATCATACGCCCTTGATCCGATCGTTCTCTTGCACCCCTTGGCTCCCCTGTGGAATGTACTATGATTAACATTTACATCTCAATCTGACATAATGCTACTCTGTTCTCCAGTCTAACGCAGGCTTACCGTCCTGGTGTCGTTCCCGATCTCGCCTCGCCTGCGCCTGGCTCTTCCCCCTTTCACGTCGAGGCTGCGCGCGGCCCCAGTATCCGGCCCTTCGGTCACCATTTATCATATTTTGAATTCCTGCTTGTTCCTGTTGGCGGAGTTACTGATGGCCTTTAGAGAGACAACCATGAAATTATAAAGCATCTATATTGCATGTGTACCTTGTCGACGTTGAAGTTTTGCCCCTTTCCGATCTGTCACTCCTCAATTCCACAACTATGGACCCATCCCTACATCCACAGCCTTGTCGGCTTCTGAGTCTCCCCAACGAGGTCAAACTCCATATCGTCGATTATGTGCGTCTCTGAGAAGAGTCCCCAGGAAAAATCATGTAACTGAGTTACTCCCAGATCGATACCCGCAGAGACCTCTACAATCTGTCTCTAACATGTCGTGCCCTCGAGGACATTGTCATTAATCGGCTCTATTACAACGTCGACTTTCATCTCCCTCAATTCCCTCTGCCTGGAGCAGTCGCGTTCCGAGATGCCCTCGTTCAATCTGTTCGAGAACTCACAATCAGAAACGGCAGGACGCAGAGAAGGAATTCGGTCTTCAAGCGCAGGAGAATATCAGATGCGGGCTCTGTGGAGGGCCATGTGAACAGCCTACTTGAATATGTTCCTAGCAGTCGAATGACGAGCTTTGCGTAAGTCAGTTGTACACGAGAGGGCTGGCTTATACTGATTGTCCCAGACTTTTACACCAGAGCCCCCTAGGTCGCCAAACGTTGACGTCCCTCGCCCAACGACACGAGCGCACCCTCAGGCGCCTCCATTTCTACGACATTGCTTCTTGGAAAGAGGGAACACTGGTTCCTAGATACCTGACAAGTCTTGAGGCCCGCACCGTCAATGATGGAGAGGCGGTGGAAAACATCCTAGCTGCCAATAGAAAGTCAATCGAGAGGTTGTCATTAGGGCAGGAGAAACAGCTGATCGATTCTTACCAATCGAGCAGGCTGAGTTTTCTCCAACAAATCCAGCAACCGCTAGAGACACTTTTCCCCTCGTTATATCGACTGGACACCTTCCCTCAACTACGGGAGCTGTCGCTGCAAGGCCTGGATCTGACTCCTCTACGGCCATCTTCGATTCCGCATGCCTTGTTCTTCTGCCAGCTGGAACGCTTCACCTTGGAATCCTGCGCTGGCAGCCATGATCTCCTTGAATCCATCGCAGGAACGTTTCACTGGGCGTCGACATCCCCGGAGGCACCCCAGAACCCACGCGTCAGCCCGTCCTTGAAACACTTTCTTTTCCGACACGAAAATCCTACAACCCCCCTCAAGGAAGCCCTCGTCCGCTTCCTCAGCTCATTCACCGGCCTCCGGACCTTGTCCCTATTATTTGAAAACGGCGCCATACTTGAAAGGCCGAGCACGTTCATCGCCGAACACGGTCCCACCCTCGAAACTCTTGTGTTTGAATCCCGCATCCAGCCCCGTGAACACCTCTCTATTGACACTTCCCGCCCCTTCGGCGTTGGTGGATACAGTCATGATTTGTGGGAGGAGTCGATCAACGACATCGCTCGCCTCTGCCCCAACCTGAGAGAACTCGGCATGGGCTTCCCCTGGAATGATGAGATGATCCGACTGCGAAAGACCGCTCTCCCAACGCTCGAGCACCTGCGAACCATCCACATCCGTAATTTCCCTGAAAACCAAGTATTTAGCCAAGTGGGAGACTACACCATCAAAGAGTACGCGACAAAGTTCGTCGAATGGGTCTTTCCCTCCTCGGTCGGAGGAACAACACCATCCCTGACACACCTCGCCATCGGCCCGACACTGTACGAGTCTCGATGGAAGATCATGCCTCCTTCCATTGCCACAGATGCAAACGCTTCCACCACCCAGCGCCGTCAGCAAGCGACATCGCGCGCACAGCCACCCGAGTTTCTACGCACGCACCACTTCTGCCTCGACTGGGCCAAGACGCGCTTCAATCGCTGGAGCTGTCTGATCACGTCCGTCTCGGAAAAATACATGGAAGAGATCACCGGCCAGAAACCTCTGGGCGGTGTCTTTGAACAAGTCTGGTTGAGGTGAAACACTTCGATGCGGTTCTGATTTGTTTTACCTGGGGCATGAAAAGACGAGCCAGGCGCTCACCTCTGTTTTTCGATCAATTTCGCAGTCTCCCGACATCGGCGTCTCGCCTGATCCCTTGCCAGATTCGGTGCATCATTTGGGATGGATTGGGTTATTTCTGGACCATTATTTTGGAATCTTCTGTTCTCTGGCGGTGTGGAGCTGCCATTTATTGCATCATTTTCATCCTTTTTTTTCCCTCTGTAGCGAGCGAAACGATACCCATATAGACCGACCGACTAAAATGCATTCAATCTGGGGGGTTTAAGGAAGAGTGTAATAAAATAGAACGAGCATTGGTGTCATCCATTTTGGAGTGACAAGAATAGAGCATAGAAAATAGTAATATCGAAGATTTCCCCCAGACCATCGTCACTACATGCCTGATCCGATGAAAGGGTACGAGTACTGAGATAGATATAGATAGATCGAAAGTCATTCCCAGTGATCGGCTCAATGCATACATATGTTTATATGTACCGAGTATCAGGTACCGGGTACCGAGGACTGAGTACCGAGTACATATTGTCCCCTTTCGGGGTCGTTCTCATGCTTAGGCTTCTGTGTGGTCTGTGTCTAGGTCTCAGTCCTTGTCAGTACCTGTACTTGTCCTTGTCCTTGTCCTTGCCCGGCCGTGGCTGGACCCGTGGCGTCGGACTTTCTGGTGGCGTGCAGTTTCCTCAACCTCCTTGTTCTCCAGTCAGCCAGGTCTTCGGCGGAAATCTGTCCCCGCGTGGAGCTCTCTTCGCGTCGCTGGCTGACGGCCTGCTGCGTCCTCTGCTGCTTGAGGAGGCGGTCCTGTTCCACCACGCCTTGCTCGGTTTGTTGGCCTGCCACGTCGATTGGGATGCCGTTGCTGCCTGTTTCTAGGGAGGCAGAGAGGGAAATGCGTCTGCCGAGTTTGTAGTCCCATTCCCAGTCGCCTGACTTGCCGCCACTCTTGGCCGTGACTCGTGTCGCTGTAAGGACCATTTCCTTGTCCACGCCCTTGAGCATGTCGTACATGGTCAGCCCTGCCATAGACGCCGCGGTGATGGCCTCCATTTCGACCCCGGTTTTACCCTCGCAGGCCACCGTGGCTGTCACGAGTACGCCACCGAAGAGCCGGTCCATATCGCTGGGAATCCCGACATCTCCTTTCCCTTCTGATAGAGGATACGGCAGCTTGTCTGTCATAAATGGTTCCAAGCGGACTGTGGCACCCGTGATATTGAGACCCGGATGAGCAAGAGGGATGAGATCCGATGTCTTCTTCGCAGCCTGGATGCCCGCTATCCGAGCCACGGCCAGCGCGTCGCCTTTTCGTAGCCGCGATGCAAACAGCACCCCGTAGGTCCCGTAGTGGGAGAAAAGCAGCAGAGTTGTTGCTGTCGCGGAGCGAGACGTTGGTTTCTTGTTTGCGATAGAAACCATGTGCGCTTCGCCATCAGCAGTTAGGTGAGTGAGGGTCGCGTCCGCGCTGGCTCCTGTTTGGGACTCTGCTTGTTCCCCTTCAACAGACTGTTTTGATTGTTCATTTTCAGTCCACCAACTTGGTGAGCTTCTACTACTGCGTCCGTTGTGAGGGCTCTGGTGGTGATACACGCGCTTCATGATATCTCGAATCAGATACTGGCCGTACGATTGCGCTCTATACCTTGCTCTCGAGGCTTTCCCCTGTAAGGATCGTTGTCGGCTCTCGTCCCAACTACGAAAGGAATTTGCAGGAATATTTTCCGGCTTCTTTGTTGGGACACGTCGGTACAAGGACTGGCCATGAACATAGCGGAAGGGCTTATGCCTCAATCCGGCCAGCGAGGTTGAGACACTGAACCTTCTGAGCCCAGCAGGGTTTGTCGAAGATAGCGAAGAAAGGCAGCGAACTTGAGACCACGACAGGGAAGGTGTAGGTTGGTGCAGCAGATGCATCGGAAGCGAGGATTGGTGGAAGATATTCATGGCGTTACCATAGCTGGGGAGGCATGTCCGAGGCGGCGAAGGAGACATAGATTGTTTGAGAGGAGCGTCATCTACAAAAGCACAATAGTCAGCTAAATCACTGACCAGATGAAATGAGCTGAAGAGAAAGAGGAACGCAGACACGAAATAGGTCTATATTCATCATATCGAAACTTTGATATTGTGTACTGTTGTTCCACATAGCCGTTTGTCGTGGCAGCTCGAAGATCTGGTAAGAGAGAGGAAGTCAAGGCCTACCCACCGATAAGAATCATTGGTCTGTTTTTCATGTTCTCCAGCTCGCCAATCCCAGCATGCTTCTCCTTCTTGCGCTTCACCGCCATGCCAATGACATTGAGCAACTTTGCTTCCTGTTCAGACATCCCTGGCTCTCCAGTCGCAGACAGTCGCTGGCGGTGATTTAGCTCGAGCTGTCGAATAGCCTCCATGGCTTCGGCGTCAATCGGGTTGCCGTGATTGGATTCGCGTAGAATATCCCGTAGAGAGACTTCGGCATTTCCAAAGAGGCAAACCTTCAGATTGCCATCGGAGGTAATTCGAAGTCGATTGCAAGTGCCGCAGAAGTTGTGCGTCATGGACGTGATAAACCCGATTCGACCAGCAAAACCTGGGACTTTGTATGTCTTGCTCGTGTCGTTCTTATGATCTCGTACCTTTTCGACATTGGGATACTTTTGGCGGATAAGAGCTAACATTTCCCTGAAGCCTAACATCTTTTTCTCCGACCATTTGTTACCGTCAAATGGCATGTACTCGATAAATCGCACCTCGAGATCTTGGTTCCTGCCAAGTTCCACAAATGGTAGAATCTCCCGCTCATTCAAACCCCGCATTACCACACAATTGATCTTAAGTTTGATGGCTGCTCCCATTTTGTTCATTTCAAGTATGCGATTGATAGATTTCATGACTGCATCGTGTCCATTTCTCCGCGTCATGATGGTGAACTGGTAAGGATCGAGTGTATCCAAGCTCAAATTGACCCCAGTCAGTCCGGATTCAACCATGGAATCGAGTTTTCGATGTAAAGATATGCCATTTGTTGTTATACACAATTCTTTCAGACCATCGCCCCTCAATTTCCCAATCTGATGCATGAGATCCACAATATCTTTTCGAACCGTAGGTTCACCCCCGGTCAGTCGAATCTTGTCAACGCCCTGTTTAACAAACAATTCCGAGAGATATACAATTTCGGGGGTTGTGAGTAACTGCGCGGAAGGAGAAAGCGGAACACCTTCCTCGGGCATGCAATAAAGACATCGTAAATTGCATCGTTCGGTGATTGATATGCGCAGATAGTTATGCTGGCGCGAGTAGTTGTCGGTCAGAAAGGACGAGAAAGGTCGTGGTTCGGACTCGTTTCGTAAGCCTTCGAGTCGTGGCCGCTCGTTCTGAGGCGCGGAAGGGCTCTGGTCCTGGAGTGTATGTGCCTGCCATCGCGGATCTGCTGCTGCAGGTCGCTGGGGTTGGATGTTCGTAGCGGTGGACAACGGGCGCTGAGGATACCGAGGAGGCTTCGAGTGGCGAAAAGTTTGTGGCCTTGTTTGGCGCAATAGAGTGGCAATCATCTGTTTGAAGCTGGCTTCAGCCATGGTCGGAGAGAGTGAAAGGTGAGAAGAAGCTCCAACATGTGGACCGAGGGGAAAAGTAGAGGTTTTGTCATTAGCAGAGCTGAACTATTCGGGATAAATAATAAGGCATTGCAGAAGCAATCTTATACGCGGATGACATGTTAGCAATGGGCAAACCATCTATCTCTAGATTGATATTAGTCACTGTGCAGGAATTTAATGGCAAAGAGGAGACGGAGATGTGAGGAGAAACCAATGCAGTTTGCCGAACTTGGTAACCTCGCGCGAGATCCGTACGAACCGCAGGAAGCAGGGACGAAGATGGGTTTAAACACGTGACACAGACATCAGCCACATATCTCAGCCACACTCGCCACAGCTCCGGCGTTAAAGTTTGATAAGAACGAACCGATTTCTGCTCGGCCGACGAAATCTGAGAGACCTGTTTCATTCTGCATGAGATTTTGTCGGTTGAAAGATGATAAACCAAGGTGTCAGATCGCTCATGTTGGAGTTCTTTACTCAATATAGAACCATCCTCTACGGGCTTGAAGCGGAGTTGTGAATCGACGTCCTACATGATGAATGAAGCACGGTCAGAAACCTCTTCTCACCAGTCATTTGCGAGGACCAGAGAAATATGATGGCCGTGGTTAGGTTTGTCCACAGTCGGATCAATGTTTCGCGTGTCCAAAGTGTGTTGGTGGTATTTGTGAGTGTTTCGGAGCCGCGGTGGATTTTGGCGCCTGAAAATTGAAGCGTCGCAAACCCTGGAGTGATCGCCCAATCAGTAGAGTCACGTGACTACAAGGAAGAGTGAACAAAGTTGAGTAATAACACCGGAGGCCTTTCCGCGCTTTGGTCAGTGGTGCCAGGAGATCTGCCAGTGTCCCATAGCCACAGGTTTGTCGAGTACTCAGTACAAAGGAACTCGTACTCGTAGGTCTGCCAATGCTTGCCGGTTCTTGGCCGTGCCTCTGTAAGATTCATGGCAGCCTGAAGACGGAGGCCAATAGTTCAATGATTGGTGGAAATCACGTAGTAGATGCGCTGATCACGGGGAGACAAAGCTGCCGATATGCCGGGCTCTCGCAAGACAACCACCAAAACCGGACCCCTAGAAGCCACACGGGCCAGTCACAGGCGCTGCAAGGGGGGGACTCTCCGACACAGCCTCAGCACTTGCCCCCAAGTGTTGTGGCTCTTGCGCGCTCTCATCCGGATGAGCCCTGCGCAACTCTGGCTTTGCCAACTTTCCCTCTCTTGCTGCTTTCCCTCTTCTCCCTTCCTTGTTCCACTTCCCCCCTACGATCCTCACTTGACTCTTCAATCATTCCCTCGTTCCATCACCAACACGCCCTCGCTATTTCACGACCGATATACAGACACCTTCACGTCGACTTCAGACGAGAAACTTCACATGAAATCTGATTGACGACCTTGTGAACCCTGTGTACCTATTTTTAGGCTGCCTTTAAAGCCGTGCAGGCTCCTAGGCCGCGCACCCTCTAGTAAACCACCCTCAACTTTACCATGAGTTACCCTACTTCACAATCGAGCATGTCTCAACTCAACACCACGTTTGACCCTGACTACGATTCTTTTTTGAACCTCGAGAATGAATTCACACCTGCAACAACCTCTCCAGACATCAAGTCAGTCCCGATGCTGACCCCTCAGTCGTCCATCCCAGGCTCTGCAACCTTTGCGTCGAGCTCGACTCCTACCACTTTCCCGGGACCCAGCTTCCAGTACGATCGATATCATCAACAGACTGGCATACCAATCGGCGCTCTTGCAAGCACTTTCAATATCAACAAGGCGACCGGGTTACAATATCATGAGGGGAATGGAGGCTTCATTATGCCAACAGAGACTCTGAACATGCCTTTGAGCGACTTGGACGAGTTTGACTTCTCTCGCAACCCCGCTGATATGGATTTCGAGACGGATTCGCCAAACGGTCTTCCAATGTTCTACTCTGAGGCTGGGTCTGGTCCAACTCAGTTCGTCAGCCCAACCACTTTGGTGTCCCAGAATACCACCACTTCCGCTCCGAAAAGAATCTATCCTGGAATGCACAGTCAGCAGGCTGCTCAGGCCAAGGCGCAACAGGCTCAGAAACAGGAACAGATTGCACGACAACAGCAGCCCCATCCTCAAAGCCAGAAACCCCTTCCCGGTTCAGTAACCGTCAAAACTCAGCCGGCCAAGGACCCACTCGTCGAAGAAAGCATCTCTAAGGTCTTGAATCGGATGAGGCAAGCCAGCGCTGTTTCCATGTCTGATGACGACAACTCTCCTGTGACAGGAATGTCAAACATGCCTCGCTTGAAGAAGGACGAAGATGACATGGATGAAGATGAACGTCTCCTGGCCAGTGAAGAAGGCAAAAAGCTGTCCAGCAAGGAACGTCGCCAACTCAGGAACAAAGTATCTGCCCGTGCATTCCGTTCCAGAAGAAAAGGTATACCCCACTGTCTGATTTGTTTTCGAGACATCTGCTAACTCCGTCCTCAGAATACATTTCTCAATTAGAAGGAGAAGTTGCCGCCAAAGCTCAAGAGGCCAACGACTTGCGTGCTCAAAACCAGCAACTTCGAGAAGAAAACAACCGTCTCACCGACCTCACGCGGATGTTGCTATCGTCTCAAGCCTTTTCGGGCTTTTTGCAAGAGCTCAGCCAGTCTGGCTTGCCAGCACCGAACGTGCAGAGTAACCCTCAGCAGCAAAAGCCCGTTACAAGCAAGCCTCAGCCCCAATCTCAAGTCGTGAAAAAGGACATCGGTTCAGACGAGGCTGCACATAGCATGCATATTCAGCAGCCTCAAGTTGGGATGGCGCTAATTCCAGACACCCCGGTTGATTTCTCTGTCCTTCAACCATCAAATGGCTGGATGAGCGCTCTCCCTACCAACGACTTCCAAGTCTATGCCGTCACGGGACTACCAGAACCCCCAATCCTGGACCTTGAAAGTCTGTCGGGAAAATCCAAATCAAGCCATGACTCAAGCAAAGGGGGAAAGGACATACCCCGTATCCCCGACCTACCCACTTGGGGGCCAACTTCGACGTCACCAGAAACGCCCAAGGTCGACGACTCAGTCTCCCTCGACCGAGAGAACTTTGCATTGTACTTCGAACCGGCTGTCTCTAATTTTGAAGATGCACTGGATTGTACAGAGCAGGACGCAGAACTTTCTGATGAAGAGAAGGCGGCTCATTTGCAATCATTGTGCCATGGTCTCGACGAATCTTGTGACAAGCTCGAGCAGTATCTGTCGTATATGAAATGAAATTCTGCTCATCTAGTAATAGTGGGAAGTCAGGAAAGTGATGACGGTGGTTCTCTAAAATAGGTTGAACACCTGGCTCACGGGTTGAAGACATTTGGGCTCTTTGATGGCCAATATATAGGGTCTCGGTATCATACTCATTTTCATTATGGTGTCCATATCTCCTTCCGCAAGCTTCTGCAACCCAAGTAACGATGTAGAAACGGTATCTCACGCGAACTCTGACAGACCCCACTTGAACACAACTGAACGACAGAATAGTCGGATGACTTTGTATTGGCTCATGTGTAGTGTCGTCATAAAAAGGTTGAAGGTTGTCACAAAATGGGGGCGTAGGCGACGCGAGGCAGCGTCGCAGCCTCGTCAACGGGCGCAGTCACTGACACTTTTTTTTGGTGCACAACATCATTCCTCCCATCGCTGAAAATTTGCGGAATACGCCCTAGACACTCATTTACTGTGACTCAACTGTCTACCTGATCCTAGGTGTGCTAGTATATATACCCTACTTCTGAGGGCTTTGTACTGTGGACTGGATCATGCTCTGACACACATTCCATCCCCACTCAGTCGCCGTGGCTATCCTGAAGTCAGTCTCTGTCTTTCCTTGGGCAGACTCTGCGTGGCAGCTCATCGCCAGGGACCGAAATTCCTCGATCCGTCCCTTCTCTCCTTTTCTTGTGAGACCTTACCGCTGGAGTCGACTTCCTGAACTCTTCCGGAACCCAAAATCTTATACGGCCAGACGACAGCGGCCGCGCCTGGGAGCAAAACGTTGTGTCTCAACAAAAGGAAGACTGATCTGGGATGAAGGAAGTGCAGGAATACAAGAGAGAGATTTTAGTGCCCCTAGAGCCCGCCTGAGCATTTCCCGCCCGCCTGCGCAGAGACTATCTACAGTCTGGTCGTGGCGTAAAGCCTACAGCAAAAGTGGTCCACCGGGACAAGTTGGCATTGAGGAACTGTCGACCACGACCCTCCCAGACTCCCACACAATGCGTCCGCAAAAGGAGGGTGCCAAACCGGTCGGGGTGCGCACAAATTTCCACTTCCAGTTCATTACAACCCCCACCTCTGATACTCCTGGAACGGCGCTCGTATTGCACTTCGACTCCAAGAGATACATATTTGGGGAGATCACCGAAGGAACTCAAAGAGCAACTGTACAACGTGGGATTGGACTCCGGAAAGTTCGTGGCCTCTTCCTCTCTGGAAAGACGCTCTGGAACAATGGAGGCGTTATAGGCCTCATCCTGTCAATGGCAGACGTGCAGCAGTCGGAGATTGATGAAGACACCATGAAACGTCCTAGATTGCACATACATGCAGGACCAAAGCAGCTACACTCGTTTGCATGTGCGCGCCGATTTGTTTTCCGTACGGGGATGCCATTGTCAGTTCACGAGGTCGACGTTTACAAGAACAGGACCGATCCGAAGCCGATACACGTGGATGAGAATATCCGGGTGTGGGCACTGCCCCTCGAGGATCGCTGTAGCATATCCACGCTACCTAACAGAACTGAAGGGTCTACTATGGATGAGGTGCAGTTGGAGAGGGAGCAAACTTTACGAAACGAAGTTGTGAACAACATGTTCGATTCTGATTGGAGGCGTGATCAACTCTTGCAAGCAAAGCTCAAGGACATCAAACTGCCAGCAGTGGTGTGGGTGAGGGATCCCGAGACGAAAACACTGACCACTTATCCTGTTTTTGACATGGATAAAACCACCCTTGCGCCCGACACGGAAGTCCTCGTTCGCAGTCCCTGGCCTGCTTCAACTGTACAGGAGCTCCCACCTGCAAGGGGCTTGCCGGAAACTGTTGCGATGTCCTACATTGTAAAGGGTCATCCTCAGCGTGGTGAATTTGACGTTGCAAAAGCAAAGGCCTTGGGTTTGCGCCCGGGGCCAAAGTACGCAAAACTGGTGGCTGGGGAATCCGTCGAGAGTGATGACGGTACCCAAGCTACAATCACGCCGGAAATGGTCTTGAATCCAACTCGGCCGGGCAGAGGGTTCGCATTGTTCGATATACCCTCCGCCGGCTATCTTGAAGAGCTCGAGCGACAATTGGATGACCAGGCCGACTGGATTTTGGAGGGAGTCGAGACCGCAGTCTGGATGACCAAAGGTAAAGTACTAGAGGCGGACAAATTTCGCCAACTGCTCCACAAACTCAAAGACCTGAAGCATATCATCTCGGACCCTCATCTATGCAATGACTACATTGCCTATGATTCTTCCGCCATATCCTCGGCCAGACTGTCCCAGATCGCACCAAGCCTGTTCTCCATCCCCAGGTTTGACAATTCGAATGCGTATCGAAGTATGATCGATACATCTGTGGTTGAGCTAGACAATCTCTTCGACAAAGTCCGAATCATACCAGCGAGGAGAGGTCTGAAAGTGCATGTCGAGCCCCATCCCGCCATAGATGATGGTGAGGTCGTATCCGGCCTTGACTTGGAGGCATTTACAACGCCTCTAGAGCAAGCAGTACAAGAAGTGTTGCCAGAGGATCTGTCAACGTACCGTGCTTCAGACCCTGGGTTCAGAAGTGGCATGGATTTGGATGAGCCGGAAATCGTAACGCTAGGAACCGGCTCAGCAGCTCCCTCAAAATATCGCAACGTCTCATCTCTTCTTCTTCGCATGCCCAATGGGATGGGGAACTACCTGTTCGATTGCGGTGAAGGTACTCTTGGTCAGTTGAAAAGGCTTTATAACGCTGATCAGCTGGATGAAATTCTGTTCAACCTCCGAGGAATTTGGATATCGCATCTTCACGCAGACCATCATCTGGGCACGGTGTCGATACTAAAGGCAGTATTCCAGACTGCTCAACGACTGTCCGATTCTGGGCAACGTGATCGTCCCCCACCTCCGTATATGATGTCTGAGATCAACATGATCGACTATTTGGATGACTACGAATCTGTTATGGGCATACCGACCGATATGCTCTGCACCCCGATCGCCTGTGATCCCCACAGAGGCCTTTTTCATCGAGGCAGGCACTTTGAGATGCAGAATGACCTTTACATCAGTGAACTGCGCACTGTGAAAGTCAGTCACTGCCATGGTGCACAGGCCGTCTCTGTCACTTTTAAAAATGGGTTCAAATTTTCCTACAGTGGCGATTGTCGTCCCAACGAGGCATTCTGCGAAATTGGCGCCGACTCAGACGTCCTAGTACATGAAGCCACTTTTGACGACGGCATGGAAGGTGATGCTATGGCTAAAAAGCACAGCACAACCGGCGAGGCTGTGGGTGTCGCATTGAGTATGCGCGCCAAAAACCTCATCCTCACACATTTCAGTCAGCGATACCAGAAAATCCCCGTCTTCAGCAGTGTCAAAATGCCAGAGCGTGTCTCCGAAGAAGACTTGCTTGATGACGTTGATGCTGAGGTGATCAACACAAGTGCCCATGGCAATGAAGACGGCTTAGAATCGGAGTATCATTCTACACCAAAATTGGATCCTTCGTCGTGGGCACAACCTGACTCGGCCGTGCGTGACCTCAACATCGCTGTGGCTTTTGACCTAATGCACATGCGTGTCTCACAAATTCAACACATGAAACGCCTGTTCCCTGCAATCTCCAAGATGTTTGAGATAGAGGAGGAAAAGAGAGCCCAGTTACGCATGGGAGCAGCCGCTCAACAGAAAGCAGACATAGAGAGCAGGAGATTAAAGAGGCTGCAAGCCCTGGAAACAAACAAGAAAAAGATGGACAAGAGCAAGGAGAAGCACATGAAAAAAAACAAGAAACAGGGACTGGTAGAAGGAACTGCGGACGAGGCACAGAGTCAGCGAACACCTGGGGGAGCGCAGGTGAGCAACGGTGATGGAACAGCAGCTCACCACCCTGCTCTTCCCGCCATGCTCGATGGGCCCACGGCGGAGCACACAACGAGCAATGGAGTTGACATTGGTAAGACACGCAACACAAGGACCAGTGTGGGTGTGAATGCTAAGCGTGCTCAGACCGGTGACGGCTGCGAGGTGCCAATGCTGGACGTGGCGGCGCGAGGCAGCGTCTCAGCGGATCTGACCTCTACGGAACCGAGGCCTGGCGACGATGATGGAACCAGCACTGAAAGTCGAGCAGCAATGAAGAAGCGCAGGCTCGAATAGTCTCCTCTCTGAAAGTTGACCGGACCTGGCAGCTGGTATTGCTTGCCTTGCGACCTGCTGGACTGGAATGGAAAGGAAAGACAAGGCTGCATCCCAATATCAGGCCGCTAGTCTTGGTACTGTTCTTGTTCTTGTTACTTTCTTTCGCATTGATCACTTGTCAGCACTCAGATCGACTCACCGCAAGCACGATGATCTGGAGGTCAAATTACCTTTTTACCTAACGCTACATAAATCGATAGATGGACGGATAGATAGATAGCTGGATAGAGCTCTCCCAGACGTAGTTCTACCCACTCGATTGAGCCCCATGCATCTCATCTTATCTCATCTCTACCTTGATTATTTGGTGCTCTGACGAGTGACACGGGCTCTGTATTTACGGGTAATCCATATGGTGGTGGTAGACGAATCATCTTGTATAGAGGATGAGGTAATTGAAATGTATATATATGTACACCTGCATACATATACAGATCAGGCTCGCCAGGCTCACCAACTCGGTACCGAAATCCTAGTGGGTCCTGGAACATATTTATCACAATACATATAGACACTTCTGACGTTGTGAGAGACATTTGTTCGATTTCGTATTATAAGCATCTAACAACCTTACAACCTTACCCGGTATCCCTTTCCCTCCTTCTCTCCAATCATCCTAAACCCCTACCTATCGAGGCCTAGAAGGGAGACCATCCTTGATGGACCGGACTTCCTAGACTGACTGACTGACTAACTGACTAACTGACTGAGTGAGTGAGTGGTCAGGTCTATCTCCTCCTGCCCTGGTAATACCAACCAAGATCATTCCTCGATGCGATCTCCGACTCGTACGCTCCGCTCCACGTGGATTGGACGTCGTCCCTGCTCTCACTGACCCGGGATCGGCCCTGACTCTGGCTCTGGCTCTGGCTTTGGTGTATGCTTCTGCCACTGCTTTTGCTTTTGCTTTCGCTCCGACTGGGAGAGCTTCGCGATACTGGACTGTCCCGCAGGCGCACGTTGCTGTGGATGGCGTGGGTCAAGCTCCTTCTGTCGTGGTTTCGTCTTTCACTCGTGTGCACCCTCACAGAGAGGCGCTCGGGAGTCGACTTCTTCCCCGTCGCCGCCCATGCCCATGTCGATGGTGTGGGGGGCGTGTCTGGCGACGAGGAGCTGGGGCTTTTGTCCGGAGAGGTGGAACTGATCGTGTCGTCGTACAGGTCAAGGATCTCTTCTGTTGAAGACACTAAACGCCGCGAAGGCCTCGACGGGTCCTGCCGCACTACCGGTGTAGGAGTCGATCTCGGTGAGAGTGTGGTCGTACCTAGATCTGCTGCAGACCGGCTGACTTCATCGTACAGACGGAGGAATAGATCTGATGCCGAGGATGGGGGCGTGAATTGTCCTAGTCTAGAACCCGGTACAGGTTTCGGACTCGAGGGTGTTTCAGATGTGGTTGTGAATGGAGACGGGGCGACGAGGTCGATGTAGGTCTCTGCTGCACAGCGTCTCGGATTTTCCGATGGCAGGTTGTGTCCTGTACCTGACAGAGCGCAACCTTTAGATCGACTGTGGCTTTCAGCGTGCTCGTGCTCGTGCTCATCCTCATTCACTCTGGTTGTTCGCTGGCTACTTGCAGAGGCATGACGCTTCTGGGTCTTGGACACCGTGGTTGCCACAGAGTAAATGCTCGAAGCCGAAGCCAAGACAGGGTCTGTTTCCCAAGAATCTCTGGAAGAGCCAAATAGCCCGTGTACCCTGTCGTTGGCGGCCGGTCGTATTGGTTCTTCTTGTCGTGATGTCTTCCACTGTGACCGCGGCGGTACGTACTCAAGCGTTTCCTCCTGGTGAGTAGAGGATTTGCGTGTCTGTGAAGAAGCAGATGGTGGGTCTTCGACAACGCCAAAGTGTGATGCGCGTTCAGTGGTCGAGGAAGAACGTCCGTAAGGACTTTGGCCTTTTGTGGATGGATCACCCGACACAGAGCTGATATCTGATTCGAATGGAAATTTCATGTGAGGACGTGGCTGATTTGGAAGGTAGGTCGTGCTGGTCAGCGCCTCGTAGGCATCCATGCCCGGGAGATCGTCTTCGTTCGGTTCTCCTGGCACACCTTCTCCGGCATGATTGTCACAGGCCCCGTCCAGATTTGCTGATCCTGGAGCTTCGTGTTCAGGGGCAACCGGGGGATTGGGAACAAGACGAGAGCTACCTGTGCGCTTGGCTCTTGTTCTTCCGCTTTTCGTTCTGCTCAGCTTCATGTACTTGTATTTCTCCTTCTTCACTGCTTCGACATTAGCTCTTGTCTTCTTCAGCGCCACTGCTTGCTCCTCATTCTGGAGCATAACGGTGTCAAGGTCGATATCTTGACCCGTCGCCCTCTCCACACATTTCGCCAGCGCGGCAATCCACACCTGCACCCATGATTGGAGTCTCGGGGTTCCATGCGCGGCGACGAAAGTTGACGTTGCCCTCGACCTGATTGTCCACCTCAGGTCCAGGAGAATCTCCAGATCACATGTAATGCGGGACAGGATGCATGCACGGCAGCGGTCACTTTGGTAGGTCCACTTCGAGTCCTGGCTTGAGACCAAGAAGGTTTTTGCGTAGTCGTCTGGTGTGAGCCACAAGGCGTGCAGTGCCCGAAGTCTCATGACTCGATCGTACTGCTCTGGAGAGAGCAGATCGCAGTGTGCAATGAGATTGTTGAGACGGATTCCCACCTCAAGCTGGACATGATGCAGCACGACATCCACGGCATCGTAGTGTAGGGATTTGTGTTGCTGGCAGAGGTGGCCGCGAGGCGGCAATAGGATATTCTCCAACCGACTCGACCTGAGAAAAGAAGGTATCGACTTTACCCCCTTGGCGATTCGCGATGACAGTACTTCTGGAGCTTCATTGGGTCGGAATTGTAGGAGTTTCGCAAATGTCGGGATGCACACAGACGGGATCTCTTCAATATACATCTTGTCAGCACTTCTCTTCTGGTTTTGAGAGTGTCACCGAGAAAATCTCTCACCTGAGTCGTGCTCGTCGCGTGAGCCTGGGATTGTGAAAACAGTTGCTTCAGTGACAGGCTTCAACGAAAAAGGTCTGGATAAAGTCTGGGAGGTTGCTGTCAGGAAGTAATTTGGTTAGCTATGAAGGGGTTGCGAGGACAAAGTTCGGAGGGCATGCATGGACCTTGGGAGGTTTGCACTTTCATAGGTCTACCTACAGACAATGGATCAAAGAAAATGTGCCGGACAAAGGAGAACTGTAGTCATTGTCCCTCATCAAGGCATTGCAATGTCAAGCAGACATGGAACGATTTTGCTTTGTCAGGAGGAGACTTTGACAATGAGAACGAACGTCACCGTGGCTGCGCTGCCTGCGCCGACCAACCAGGACTTTTGAGACTTGAGAAAATCAGGCTTGAGTATTGGAGTGAGGCGGGGAGACAATTCCTTCTTGTTTATTCAAATATGCAAACCCCAGTACCACCATGACCTTTGGGCACCAGCCCGTATTTTGTACACATTACCTTGATTTGCAAGAACATAGTAAAGGCGCATAGGCTCTTTCCCCCCAAAACCCCATCATCTTGATCACATTCCGGTTCCTTGCCCTGTGCTCCCTAAAAGCAGTGCCGAATATGTACCATGAAAAATCTGGTCGTAACAGTAAACATTTTATACACCGCTGTTCAATGCATCCCGTCCGCGTGTAGAATTGCCGGACTTCTGCTATGAATCCCTGCGACGCGATCCGATATTGACTTGGCATCGAAACCACTCTTGCGTCTGGTGCTTCTCCGCAAGGCTTGTTTGACTTCTTGTTCTTCCCTTGCTTCCTCCTCGAGTGCTTGAGGTCCAGCATTTTCTTTGTCGTCAAGGACCTGCCTCTGACTTGACTGAGCTTGATGCTCTGCATGACCCTTGTCAATGATTGGCGAGTTGACAATGTTAGCTGCAGCTGCAGCTGCAGTAGCATCTGCGTCCACTTTCTTCTGGGCTGCAATCCTATCGCGTTGGTAACGGGCTGACACATCACCACCGGTCCATGCGGTATTAAGAAGGCGGTCCCAGAATGTGAAGAATGGTTGTGAAAAGTTAGTCTTAATGCCCCAACTCTGATGGTGCACGTCGTGATAAGCCGCATTATTCGAGGTAATGTGTTGCAGAGGATCCCACGGAAAAGCATATCCGCAATGGTCGTCAACCGTCTTGATTGACGAGATGGTGAAAAACCACATGCCTTGTCTAATGGTCATCCCGGTTGTCAAATAGGCCACTCCCGTCCCAAGCGTGTCAAGCATGAAGCCTTCCAAAGGATGGTTGTAGAGTGCTCCATACGCGTATGGAACATACAAACGATGGTGCCGAGAATGGAAGGTGGTGTAAAGAAATTTGTTCATGTGCATGGCTCGATGAAGGAAATATTGCCATGTGTCTACGATCAGAGTCGCCACGACAAATTGGATCAAAGGAATGCCAACCCAATAAATCGACTTCGCGGTTGTCATTTCCCACGATGCGAAAGATGGTGTGGAATAGATCCCTCCCACCAAAGCGCCTGCGAGTTGAGGATAGTCGGGTTGAAGTTTTCGACCAAGAGACATAGCATCTAGACCAATGAAACCGAGCAATGTTGGAATATATCTTTCGGCGAAACGCAGGCGCTGTGCCCAGACAGCAATATCGTAATCCTCTTTACCGATCGTCTCGACAGGGTCAAAAGAAGCGATTATCAATCCAAACACTGTCTGGACTATTTGCTGGATAATCACGTCCCGAAGGACCTCGAATCTGGTAACATGATTGCGTTTGAGGACTTCAGCTGGAGTGTGCAACCTGTACTGCGAACACAGGTCATAGGTATCCAAGATGTGGAAGAACAGTGAGACAACCCAATAGGCAATGATAGGAGCGAGGAGCTGAAGGAGTGGATCTGATATGCCCGGGATCATAGAGGGGCGGGGTTTCAGGGTATAGGAAGGGAGACCAGGGAGGTCCGGAAACGTCGCGTTTGCCATGTTATCGGACATGGAATGGCAAGAGGAGCAGGGACGATGTTCGATGGAGAGGTATCGCAGGGAGATATATTAAAGGTGTGCGCGGGAGGCTCGGATGACCGTGCAAGGGTCTAATGGGGGGTGGAAAGGAAGGGCGCGCGTTTGCGTACGTTCAGCCCGGTGAGGGGAGTCGACAAAAGCAAAGTAGAAGACCAGTAGAAAGCGAAAGCAAGAGAAGATTATGAGAAGTGAAGGAAGCGAAGGAGTGAATTAAGACAAGATGAGAACATCAGAAGAGAGGTGGAGAGACCGACCAGAATGAACTGTAGAGGTGATCAGGATCAGGAGTTTCCGGAGAATTAATTTGGTGACGAAGGGAAATTTGCCTCCTCCATGCCTCCTTGCACCGGAGTCATGTGATTATCCTTGAGATTGAATTATCACGTGCGCCAAGCGGCGCAATATTGAAGTGGACGCAGCAAAATTTTTGGTGGCAGCGCAACCCCACACCGCACCGCAGTTTGCCCAAGTGGATGGGCATTCACAGGGCTAGATACCCTTTCGATCTTGAACCCCTCGTCAACCCAGCCAGGCTTGCGCTCATTCATTTTTTTTCTTTCGCTCAGTCTTTCTACCTTTAAGCGCACCCTCTCCCCATTATTTGTTTCCCTCTGCTCGCTGCAGCGCTTGATTCAAGATGATCATTTACAGGGTACAAACCATTTCATCCTCGAACACAGGGTCTTTTGACCCTACTCCGCCTGAATTAACTAACAATTTTATATCAGGACATCATCAGCGGCGATGAGCTCGCGTCTGACACATCGAAAATCATCGATATTGGCAATGGCCTGTGGGAAATTGACGGCAAGATGATCACAAAAGGATCCGAGAACTTTGGTTAGTCTCGTCCTCATCCCTCATCCCTCAACCCCCCGTAAACCGACTAAACTCTTGGAATTCAGTTCTCGAAGGCGCCAATCCATCTGCTGAGGGCGAAGACGCCGAAGACGGTACGGATGACACCAAGGTCACGGTTCTTGATCTTGCCGACCAGTTCCGTCTACAAAAGCTCGAAGGTGGAATGAGCAAGAAATCGTATCAGTCCGAACTCAAGAGTACGTTACATGCCCCGGACTGCGGTTTGTCAAGGTTGCAGAATTGACACGGGCACAGAATACATGAAGGCTCTGACGGAGAAATTGAAGGAGAAGGGGAAGAGCGAGGAGGAGATCAAGAAATTCCAGTCAGAAGCACCAGCCGCAGCCAAAAAGATTCTCGGCAACTGGGACAACTACGACATCTATCAGGGCGAGTCAATGACCGAGAACGGCATGTACGTCCTTGTTGACTTCCGTGAGGATGGTATGACACCATATGCGACCGTTTGGAAATGGGGCCTGGAAGAATACAAAGTGTAAGCGAAAAAGCCACAGCGATTGGTGCATTCGAGGATACATACGACACGACAATGATGGTGTTCTGAGATGATGAATGGGGTGGATGGCCTGCGATAGCTTATTATCGTCCAAGCACATCACGAAGAATAGAATCTGCAACTTGCTTGCCGCTTCAGTCATGTTTTGTCCCTGCTGGTCCATGACTTGGAACTCTCTGCAAGGTTGGCCAACGGACTGGCTAGCCTGTGCCGTTGCTGTCTTCTTACATATGACATGCAATGTCGACCCGGGAGGAAAGAATACACAAGCCTGGTGCAAAGTACGTCCCTTGAGTAAAACCTTAGACATTTGCTCCCCTCTCCACGAGCACCAATAGCACAAGGAGGCTGTCACGCTGTCGAACACTTTGCCTTGCTCATGGGTGATTGTTCAAGATGGTGTGTTGGAAAGGTGGGAGACCCCCGCAGTTGCAGACGAAAGGCTTCCCTCGCTTTAGGCGGTCATTTCAAAGGGACTAGACCCAGGCCCTGTTGTACTGGCACTTATTGGAGGAGAGAAATGGCGCTGCCTGCATGCTCCGCCCCTGCACGTTCAACAGCCCCATCCAAAAACTTGTTGTCCTACTCCTACGTCCGTGCCTATCTATGATCTCCAGAATCATCGTATGACTGGGGATCTTGGCTGTGGCATTTAGTTACCCATTGCTTGGGGAGAAGCATCTCTATCTGATAAGCATCCAAAGCGCCTTTAGCCCTCCCTTCCTCCCAACTCACCGAGCTAGCTGCTGTCTCCGCTACTGGAACTGTGCTCTCGTGCTCGCTTTCCACATCAGAAAATCTACCATCAGGGTCGCCTTTGATCTTCAGGTCCCGGCTCACATGTCACAATAGCAATACTGTCTCCAGCCCAGCATGGCTCCTTTTCTCCGCAGCATATTAATCTTTTCAGCTCTTATCACTGCCACCATTTCCGTTCCTACTAGCGAGTCTTTCTCTCATACCTCCCCGCAGAACAAACTCACCCCTACACCCCGAGAAAGACCGAGAGGGTCCTTTCGCAGACTTCGAGACGCTATCATCGAACGAATATGGTCCATTCCGAGTCGATATTCCTACAAGCCCTCATCCATAGCCGGCGCAGCAAGAGCTCCAGACAACTTTCGCGCTCGCTATGGCGGCGACGTTGTCCTCCGCTTCCAAATCAAGACAGAAGATGAGGCGAGGGCGATTTCAGAAGCAGCAGACATCTTATACTTGGACATCTGGGAAGCAACCAACGAATGGGTCGATATACGGGTAGCAAAGGAAGTGGTTCCCTCTTTTATTGGCCTTCTACCGTCCTCCTTGCACGATTCCTACGTGCCATTGATGCACGATCTTGCGCGTGCCGTCTACGATACATACCCTGCATCGCCTCTTGCCAACGAGAAGATTTCGGGCTTCACGACCCCACATGACTGGAGGGCAAAGGGGAACACGCCGCATGATCTATTTTTCCAAGACTATCAACCGCTATCGGTGCTATATCCCTGGCTACGGTTGCTTGCCTCGCTCTTCCCTACGCACGCTTCGCT